GGAAATGCGCCGCGCGGCGCTCCCGGGGGGGGGGGGGCCAGCCGCAGGCAGCTGCTGGGCTGTGTCAGCCGGCGCAGCGAGGAGGCTATTAATGCACGTAAGGAGAGGAGCGCCTGGCAGAGCTCCGCTTTCCGCCCCGTCCCGCCGGGTTTGTTTTGGATTCCCACGAGCTGACCGGGTGGGCGCTCGCTCGGAGTCACCACAGCTGCCGTTCAAAGGCTGTAATCTCTTGACTTGCGGCATGCCCAGAAATAGGCATTAATAGGATGATTAACTTTTCAGCTAGGTTATAAAAACATCTGTGTTTATAATAGCATTGGGCCTGGGTTCAGTCTGATCCTAAATAGTTTAATAGCCCTGGAGCTCACAAACTGCACGCCCACGCCTTCAGCTTGCGGCAGCCTCTGCAAGAAGTTCAGAGCTGGACGTCCCTCCAGAACTGAGCACTTTGGTGTAAAGAAAGTGGCAAAATAAGCAGACTTATTTATTTTATTGTTTATTTTTATTCTAATTATTTTTTAATTGGAAGTATTCTGAGTAGTCTTTTTTTTTTTGTGCCTTTTGCCTCTTTTTTTCTAACGCAGTGCTCACATTAGAGCATTCTCGAGTGCTTGCTTTCTTTCCCATCATCCAGGTTTTCCTCAATGCGTACAGTCCCCATCCTTTCCTTCTTTCAGAAATGACTTCTGTCACCCTGCACCCAGATTGCCTGTGCTGGGGTCAACTCTCTCCTTCCCTGTGATATTTCAGCTGATTATAAAGCTAATTTGATGATCGTGTCAATGCAGAGGCCACTGTGGAGATGCCATTACAATTGTGTAATGTATGTAATGATGGCAAACTGAGGAGGGTGACAGTACCTGAATGTCAAAACAACGGTTAAAAAAATGTCAGCAGAAAGCTGCAAATATCATGGTATCATGTCAAGATACCAATTTGATGTCACCCCAATTTGATGTCAAAATGAAGGTGCAGAGGTGTCAGCTCAAATTAATGAGGGCAACCTGGAGCAATGAGTTAAGGTGAAAGGGGAGTGTAGGAAAGGGGGAGAAATTAAAGAGTAAGTCAAAAAATATTGATCCAAAATAAGTGTAATGGAAATATGACTTGAAGGGGTTAGCATTACTCTGTTCGACATGTGACTGGGCTGGCTTAGACACCCCTGGGGAGCAGGGTGACATGTCTGAACCTGGTATGGGCATCTGCTGCCCTGGTCCTTCTGGGGAGTGGGGAGCCATGGGAAGGAGTGAAGGTACGTGGTGCGAAACTGGAGGGGAAGGGGACTGCGAACAGTGCTGGGGACATGGGGCAAGGCAGGGACCAAACACCACGGGCCCATCTGTAGGAAGATGCTCACAGCCCTGCGAAGGACTACGATATGCTGGGTTGGGGCTGGGAGAAATATTAGAGGCTTACATTTAAACCAGAACCAAGAGTTCTCATAAAAGTGGAAGATCCTAAAGGGAACAGACTTTAAACCAGAAAAGGAATGCATTAAAAATGTAATGCCTTTTCTTTTGAATTAGTCTCTTGTTAAATTTCACTAGACATCAGTCGATCTTAGGAGCTGCATCCTGACTTCGCTTCCTTCATGCTACAAACTCCACAGGTCCTCTGCAAGTTGAGTGTAAGAAAGTGAACGTGTGTTTGCAAACGTGAGCACAAAGCAAGGTTCTGGTTGCTGAGAAAGCAAGTGCTAATGATCATGTTTTAGACTAATTACAACCTACAAGGACTGCAGGGGTGGGAACTCATTAGTTTTTTTGTTGGTATTGGTCTTTGTGTCTTCCACTGTTGGCAAGAATCACGCTTTTTATTCTTTTTTAGGTACGCGGATCTGGATAAGTTCCTCAGGGTATGGTTTTGTTTTGAGTTTCCTAATAATATCCAGGAGACAACTGAAGTGAAATCAGAAGGGAAAAATTCATCCTTCCCTCCCCTGCAGAGCGGAGCTGGGAGTGTGAACAAGACACAAGGAGCTTCAACGCGAGCAGCAGCAGCTTCCCTGGAGACTGGAAACTCACATTGCTGCAGCTGAGGTGAAACACCAGCCCCCAAGAAGTGACCTAGAGCCACCACTCCCTGGGAAAGAAGGTATTTTGTGGGTTTATTGCTCCCCATGGGCTCTGTGGGTTTGCTACATGAGCTGATGTAGCCCTATTGCGCAGGCGCTGCTGCCTGCTCCTCCTGGCATAAGCTTGGTTGGTTTTGGGGACTGCCGGCAGGTATGTGGTGATCATGGCTTATTGTCCCTGCAGCTCCTATGGTGAGAGCCAAAAGGCTCCCCTGCCCATGGGCTGAGCCTCTGTCCCCAACCTGGGCATTTCTGTCCCAGTGTGGAGGCGAAGTTGCGCTCCCTGGGGGGGCTGGAAGGCTGGGTGGGCATCTGACAAATGCAGAAGCAAAACTGATCTCTGGAGTAGCAAAGGACTAAGGAAAACCCCAAAGGTTGCCTGCACATCGAGAAGACCATGGTACATAATCCTCTAGGAACAGTTCCTGCAGTCTCCCTGCATCAGCTGGCAAGTATTCACATTTAAAAATCAATATCACATGAAATATAGACAGACTATTAATGAGGACCTGTTGGGAAGCAGGGAGGGTTGTAATTAGTTGCACTTTAGCAGCAGTGAGTAAGAGCAACAGTTGTGTTTCTCTACAGGGAAAATGCTAAAGGAGGTGCCTTGAGACCAACTATTGCAGTATTTTGTCCCTAGCAGAGGTGTTGGCTTGGCTCTGCTCCCCAGCACTTGCACTTTTCTGTACTTCTTCCAGACCAGCCTCCATATTTACCACAATCAGATTAACCAAATTTTGTGGCTCCCTTCTTGCAGAACGATGTTTTGCCGAAGACCCTTCCCAGGTGAGAATAGCCCAGAGCGGAGGAGATTGTGCCTGGTCTGCTCTCAGCTCAAACACATTTCAGCCAACAGCTTTCTTCGAATGGGAGCTCCTTAGCAATATTTGAGCTCCTGAGCCTGCATGGTCCCAGCGTGGTGAGACCACCCTGATCATGGTTGGCTCTGCATAGCTGATACCCAGGAGTACTGCCAATGGCACCCTCCAAAAGCTCCCTAATTCTGGGGCTGAAATCCTGCCATCACTGAAGGTGAGCCAAATGGGGGGATGGGTGTGTGTTTTGGTTGTTTGTTTTTTTTTTTTTTTTTTTTTTTTTTTTTTTTTTTTTAATTATTTTTTTAATAGACTGCCACAGGTATGAAGAAGGAGATATGACCCTGCACTGCCGGACGCAGCCCAGCCTCTTCGCGGCACCAGCCCCGCAGCCCCACGGAGCGCTGGCAGGGCTCGTCATCCCTGCCGCTGCCCGCACGTCTGATCCACAGCTTCATTCTCTTAAAATACTGACTGCCGCGCCGGGTGTGCTGTTTCGGTAAGCGATCCCTTTAGCTCTGGTGAAGCAAGGCGGCGGCGGCTGTAAGACGAGCCGTTTCACGGACAGGTGCAGAGCACTCCTCATTCCCTTTTATTTTCGGCACCTCCCATGTTTGTTAGTTTTCTCATTCCAAGGAAATGCCACGTTCTCCTCGCTAGACTCTTTTCCCACTCTCCAAAGCCTTAAGGACTTTGTCTCTGCTTCCCCCTCAAACAACATAATTCTGTTTTGATACATCCCTGTTCACAGCAGGGCAGCCACAGCTCTTGGGGTCACTATTTACCCACAGACTTGCTCAGCAATGTGGGAAGAGTATTTATTTTAGTTGAAGGGAACCAGGTTTAGGCTTGAGCTTTAAATGGCTTCACTACCAGGTGTCGGAGGCATTCAAAAAGATGAATCCCCTGCCTCCCTCCAGACGTGCCAATTGATCATACATATGGGGAGAGGCAGGCAGATAGAGATATGCAGGCAGTCTTCAACTTTAAAGACAGTCTGGAGGCTTAGGAACTGGGAAGGTAAAGTTAAAAGAGGTATTTGAAGAAGAAATATTGTCTCTGACATAGGGATGGTTCGGGATGCCTGGGAGCAGCAAGAGGCTGCTGAACTGCCGACCTGTGTTTGGCAGCGCTTGCACTGCCAGGGTTTTATGGTGGTGATCAGAGCAAGGCTTTCGTGGAGCTTCAGCACGTGGGGTCGAGCTTTCTTCAGGCAAAACGGACAAGACCTGGGAGAGGAGGATGCTTGGAAGCAAGTTCACATGAAATCTCAAAAGGTGGAGGCAAAGCACAGGCTCGGGGCTGGGACTTCAGAAGACACTGGCTTATTTTTGTTGATGGTGATTTGCAGTGCCCCTGGCCACTATACCAGTCTCAAATCGGGCATCCAAACCAGAGCATGTCTCATATGGGCCAAGTTTAAGCTGGAAACTAGAAGGTTTTCCTTAGTTTCCTACCCAAATGCCTGGAAATGTTGTGAAGATAGCTTATCTTGGAGAAGTCTTGGTTTGTGGGACCACAAGAATATTTTTTTCTCTGATATATTGGCTTCCAGTAATATCCCCAACTGCAATCAAAATAGGTAGAAATGTGAAAAAATAAATACAGAAATCTCAGCTCAGAGAATATGGAAGTTAAAAATCTATATACCTTTCTCCACACAAAAATTAATACATTTAAAATGATTTATTTAAAAAGTAAGGGTTAAGTACATTATACATGGTTGTGATTATACCAGTAGAACTGAAGCACAGTGGAAATAACACTTTTGAACTGCAGACAGGAATGTAACCTCAAGGGACATGATATATTAGCCCTTGTGGATATGTGATCCATACGGAAAGAAAAGGAAATATAA